GAGAGAAAGAAAGAGAGAGAGAGAGTCTTAAGCAGGCTCTAAGCTCAGTATGGAGCCTGATGTGGGGGCTCAATCCCACGACCCTGGGGTCATATCCGAGCCAAAATCAAGAGTCAGATGCTCAACCAACTGAGCCACCCAGGTGCCCTGGCTCCATAGCATTTTGAGTGTGATCTTTTCCCAAACACAGAATCTGATTGTGTTTCTCGCCTGCTTAAAACCATTCAGAGGCCGGCCATTGCCGGCCCAGCCTGTGTCACAGGGAATACGCACCTTGATTTCATAGCCATGGGAACAGGTCCCCCAGAAAGTGAAATTCCCCGTCTGTATGACTGGCTGTCACATACTTTGAGCTGCAAGTACTGGGACATCTGCCTTAACACACGAGGGAGCGTTATTATAACCCGTGAGAGAGAGTCCGCAGGTAGGAGGGGGGCCCCTCGTGGGTGTCTCTTCTCTGAAGCCGTTGCTCACGGCTCCCCTTCCCCAGGCACCGCTGGCCCCTTAGACAGTGTTTATTCTTTGCTTCTCTCTTGCTTGTAAAGCTGTCTCCCCCACCAGACTGGGGGCGGCTCTGGCAGCGATATTTTTTCCCAGTTACAAAGTAAAGTGCATCTGTGCTTAGCAATTCAGTATGTCGATATGAGTTTATGATATAGGAAATGATGACTTTGGGGCCCAGAAAAGATTATTTGGTTTTAGGGTTAATGTTCACTTTATTAAAGTTATAAACTAAAAACCACAGTTTTTCCTTAAGCCTTTTGCTCAACTTATACATCTTACTCCTTTTATAAATCTAGCACATTTTTGCAATTGCCTTTAAGGGGGTTTTGATTAATGTTTGGCCCCACTCACAAATTTGATTATTAACTCCTTTTAAGCATTTTTAAACTGCACTTAGAAATTGAATATATTTGGTTTTATCTTTAAGTTCTTTAGTAGTCTGACTAAAAAATAAACCCTTCACCCGTACTTAAGTAATTCTTATAAGTCTAATAAATTAGACATAACTGTGGCAAATTTTAAGTTCCCATAAGTAGTCTAATATTGTTTATAAACCCAGTGCGATTTGAATTTGAAATCGTAAGTCTAAATCAACTACAGACCTTAAATTAGAATCACAAATCTAATCCATCAGAGACTCTGAGATGTTAAGTTCTCCTAAACATCACCCATTCCTAAACAAAATGACCAAACTCTCTTACCACCGATACGTTTGTGGTACAGGCCCGACCAACATCATCGTCCCTAGGTTGAATTCTGAATATCCACAGGGACAAGACGCTTTTCCCCACTAAGGGCATCGCCGTGCCATTTGTAGTAATAACAGGACTGCCTCCCAAGTGAATTTGGGGGGTACTTCCCAGGATGAGGAAATCTTGAGTGACAGGGAAGCGGCCAGGTCCTCAGCCGGGGCAGACACTTGGTCCCAGCCAGTTGGGTGACAAGGGCTCTATAATGAAAAACAATGGGGAACCATCAGTCCCTGTCCCTACCACCTGCTCTTCACCTCTAGGGCAAGTCAGGGACCCCCCCCAGCCCTGACTGCCCCTCACTTACATCACTCCCATCCTTGCTTCTGCTGTCTCCTACATTTCTTTGGCTCTCTCTCATATTTAAGTATCTAATTAAATTCCGCTTGTGACAGGCCTTTGCCTGCTGCCTACACTTCTGCGGTCTTGCCAGTGACACATGGCAGAAGTGAGTGAGGAAAAACAGACGAAGTCCCTCCTCACCCAAACACACCTTCAGAGTCACCCGTGTGTAGTTGGGAGTCCATTCCTCCAGACTTTTCTGTGCACATAAATGCACGCACACTCTCCCTCCCTCACTTAGGATGATGCTCCGTATGCTGTTTCACAATTAGCTTTTTTTTTTTTT